AGTTTAGAAATATTGGAGTATTGTGAATCAGATCAGTTAAGATCTAGGGAGCAATATTTTTTAGATTTCTTTAAACCTGAATATAACACATTAAAATTTGCAGGGTCTCTTTTGGGGTTTAAACATACAGAAGAGACTATTGCTAAATTAAAAGCCAAATTTAAAGATCGTGTTTTCACTCCTGAACATTTAGCCAAATTGTCCGAGGCTAAAATAGGTAATCAGAATGCAACAGGAGGTAAAGGCCGTGAACGAGCTGAGGGAGCAGGTAGTCCTAGTGTACCTATAGAAGTTTTAGATCAGGAGACTGGGATAAAAACTACATATCCTTCAATGAGAGAAGTAGCCCTTGCCTTAGGTGTGCCTTCAGGTAGTATTAGAATGTATTTGTATCGTAATTCCCAGAAGCCGTATAAAGGGAGATTTCTTTTGCTAAATATTAATAGCACAACTACGGAATTAACTTTGGGTGGGGGGGGGTCGGCCTGCCACCGGCTTGGGCCGGCCCCCCACCTCGCAGCTGTAAAAGAGCAACGAGTAGATGGTAATTATTTTGGATTAACTAATCCAAGATTAAGGTGTACTCTAACGGGTCTCAAGAGAGATTATCTGATCAAATGTTATAATGGGCTTTGCTCAACCGCGTCCGTGTACGTAGGAATGGCGCGGGTATCTAACCAAATAAATGGGTTTATGTTATATTCTTCTCTAACAAATCCACAAAAAATTAATTTAGTAGCTAATAATCTCTATTTTTTAACAGGGTTTACGGATGCAGAAGGATCGTTTACCCTAAATATAAGATCAAGTGATAAATACACATCTAAATGAAAAATTCAATATGCTTTTCAAATAGGTCTACATGCAAAAGATGTTGCCATATTAGAAAAGATACAACATACTTTAGGAGTCGGGAAGTTATATACAAGGGGAAAAGATGGTGTTCAATACCGGGTAGAGTCTCTTAAAGATTTATCCGTAGTAATAGACCACTTTAATAGATATCCTTTAAAAACAAAAAAACATATTGATTTTAGTTTATTTAAATTTGCTATATCACCTTCGGGCGTATAAAGAATAAAGAACATTTAACACCTGAAGGGTTAATCAAATTAATAACAATTAAAGCTTCAATGAATAAAGGTCTTTCTAAGGAGTTAAATGCTTTATTTGCAGATCTTACTCCTATCACTAAACCTGTGTCAGATATAGAATTAAATATAGATCCTCAATGATTGGCTGGTTTTATATCGGGTGAAGGTTGTTTCAGTATTTCAATAGTGAAATCTCCGTCAGTTAAACAGGGATATCAAGTTCAATTGAAACTTAGAATAACACAGCACATACGGGACATCCTATTAATGGAGAGTTTAGTTAACTATTTAGGCGGTCATGTAATTAAATCAAGAGAAGCGGTTGACTTACAAGTTAGTAAACTTTCAGATTTAACTGATAAGGTCTTACCTTTACTTGAAAAATACCCTATACAAGGAGTCAAATTTCAAGATTATTGTGACTTTAAAAAAGTTGTAGAAATAGTTAAGAATAAATCTCATTTGACCGCAGATGGGTTGTCTCAAATACAAAAAATAAAAGCAGGGATGAACACAAGTAGGCGATAAGTTTGCAGGAAATCTTTAGCAATAAATTAATTTTTTTACCCGTTTATTTGTATGATAAGTTTGATTTTGTGGTTGTATCTGTTTTATTTTTAATCGGATTATTTGGTAACGTTGCTTCTTATTTAATCTTAATAGGGTTAGGCTTTATGGGTTTAGCTTATTTAGTTGTATATATAGGAGCGATTTCTATCTTATTTTTATTTATTTTAATGTTGATTAATATTAGAATAAGTGAGTTACAAAGTAATACTAGAAATACTATACCTTTAGCTATCACGATAACAATAGCATTAAATTATCCTTTATTTAAATTGTTACCTTATGATGTGGCAATATTAAGTAATAATTTAAACGATTCCTTTTTTTATTTATATATAAACAAATATAATAAAAATTATATTAATAATTTAAATGCTTTGGATAAATCCGGTGAGCATATTTCGTTTGTTACTAGTAATATGTGGGATGGTAATTTAGCGGAAAGTGGTCATATAACTAGTATAGGGAGTGTATTATACACAAACTATAATATGTGACTTCTAATAGCGAGTCTTATTTTATTATTAGCTATGGTTGGTTGCATATGTATCACTTTAAAAAACCCGAGCGATCGTAACACTACTTCGTAGGGGAAGCCCAGTTTAACAATAGCGGTAGCGGTAGTAGTTTAGTTAATAGTCACAATACAAATAATGAAAAGTTAGTAAAAATTATTTACGATTACTTTTTATTTCTTACCCCCCCCCCCCCTCCTCTCCAATATCTTTCTCATTATAATGAGAAAGATTACGAGCCGTAGGCGTAAGAGGAGGGTGGGGGGGGGGATATAAGATAATTAGTCTTAATTATTTTTGTAATTATTGTTATTTTTGTAGTTTTAAAGTGATATCAGGTTATAACTAAAATGAAATAGGGCGGTGTTTACACCGCCCCCCTAAAAGAAATTAGCTCAATGGTAGAGCAACCGTTTTACACACGGAAGGTTGGGTGTTCGAGTCACCTATTTCTTATTCTTCGAGCTAGGTCCGGTACCCAGACACTGGGTCTGGACCGAAGGGCTAATATGTAATAAGTGAGAGATTCCTTAACTTAACTGGTTAAAGTGCATTTTTGATAAGAATGATATCAGCGTTCGAGTCGCTGAGGAATTAATGGGTGCTAAATACTGAATAGTGATATAGCGATGCTTAATTAGTATCCTGGTTGTACGCTAATTACAATTAAGAATTAAAGAGAATTGACCGAGTGGTTTAAGGTGATAAGCTTGAGTCTTATTTGATTTGTTTAATCACATCCGTTCGAATCCCCCCGCAAGCTTGCGGGGGGGGTAGAAGGAAAGGTAAGGATAGGTGAAAATAAGGATAAGTAAAATAAGTAGGGTAATAATAAATGTAATAGGTATAACGGCTATCAATTTTTGGTAGAAATACCTGTCTTCGTACAGAGTGTGCGTCGGTTCGAATCCGACTAGCTGTAAGCTCTTAGTTTGTCTTTCGCTATAAAAACAAGAGCAGTTAATTATTATTTAAAAGTATTTATTTGAAATTCAAATATTTCACCTTCATCTAGTGTGTTGCTAGCTCGTTTTTTACATGTATTGATAGTTTAAGGGTAATTAAGTGAAGCTTTTTTTATTTATTTTCACCTTCTGAGTCCCGGAGGGACCCAGTATGCATGACTCAGTGTACCTAGTACCCACACTTCGCAAGGAGCAGGATAAAATTTGTCACTATACTGTAAAAACGATAAGAAAGGAGTTAAGGTTTATAGGAAGTTACCTATAAATTAGTAAGCGGTTATATTAATATTATGTGGCATATTTAAGTGGCTGGTTTGGGCGTACCTGACTCCGTAAGAAAGAGACTTTTAGACTTTCAAAATCCCCCCCCCCCCCGCAAGCTTGCGGGGATAAGTAGGAGGTGCATCAAATCTTAGGAACAAAAAGGGTCAATACATTATAGTATCTATTCCTCATGTGAGGTTTTTTTTTATAATTTAAAATGAATAATTTATGATTAACTATTAAAAGTGAACTGGCTGTGTATTTAATGGCGGCAATAAAACCTTTTTTATTCGTAGAGTATAGTAAAAAGGTTTTAGGGTTATACCATACAGTCCTCTACCGTCAATAAGGTATAAAAAGAGTAAGTCCTTTTGATTCTTTGATAGGTGGTACTCGACATATATCATTTAACTCTGCAGTCTCAGCACGATTATTTTCCACATCTGTCCAGACTAAACCTTCCAGCTTTGTTAGCCCCGATTTCTTAACAGGGTTCAGCGACGCAGAATCTTGTTTTAGTTTATTTATTAGGAATAAAAGTAACAGTAAAAATAATGTCAGATTAGTAGTAGAACCCGAATTTCAAATTGGGCTTAACTGTAAAGATGAAGGGCTCTTGAAACTTATCAAAGCTAGTTTTGAATGTCAGGGAGGATTGGTGCTTCCTAGTGGTAAAGTAGGTAGAATACAAACAGACAAAAACAAGAGTTTCTACAGAGTAACCTCAGTAAGCGGTTTAGCTAAGATAATAGCCCATTTTAATAAGTATCCTTTATTAACAAAAAAGCGTAAGGATTATTTGATTTGAAGAGAAGTGGTTCTAATGATGCTGCGGGGAGAGCATCAAACATGGCTTCGCTAGAAGGGATCCGGAATATAGTTAAACTTAAATCAGCGCTTAATCTAGGTTTAAGTGACAAATTAAGAAGAGAGTTTAACATTACCTCTGAAGAGGAGGAGGCTGTAGCTATGTACAAAGGTGAGTTAGGCAATGAAGAATTTCCTATAAATAACCAATGGGTTGCTGGTTTTACTTCAGGTGAGGGTAACTTCATGATTGGATTAAAAAAAAGAGGGTAAACTTGGTAAAACACCTCAACTACGTTTCCAATTGACTCAACATATACGTGATGAGGAGTTCTTTAGAAGATTAGTTTCTTATTTTGGTTGTGGGAAAGTGTATACGCGTATTAGCAATAAACGCCAAGCGGTAGAATATTCTGTTCAGAATTTTACTACCCTCTGCACTCCAAATCTTTCTCACAATGTGAGAAAGATAACGCAGAGGGTTAGAAAACATTGAGAAAATCATACCGCTCTTTCGTGATAACCCTATCTTAGGTGTTAAAGCTTTAGATTTCGCAGATTGATCCTAGCGAAGCACGCAGGTGAAATCATGAAAGCAAAGGGGCATCTAACTACAGAAGGGCTGGATAATATTTGTAAATTAAAAGCAGGTTTGAATAAAGGAAGAAATATAAATATTTCTAGCTATAATGAGGATTAGTTGCACTATAATATCTTACTCTCCTAATTAGACGGGAGGTTAAGGGACGGGGGCACATATGTAGCTTGTATTTGTGGTGCCCCCCTTAAGAAGGTTGGCCGAGTGGCTTAAGGCGTGCTACTTGAGATAGCAAAGGTTAGAAAACCTCACCAGTTCGAATCTGGTACCTTCTGACGGTTCAAGGGTAGGGTATTAGGGTATACTTCATTAACAGAAGTTAGCCTAAAGTGGGGTTAGGGGGATATTCTCTGTTTTTGTGCAGAAACGAAACCCTGACATATTTACCCTTCGGACAAAAAGCAGGCTAGGGTGGCGGCATATTTCTAAATAGCCGCAGTAGTTTTTAAAACTATACAATTATCTTATATACAGATTAGAGCCAGCCATAAAAAAAAATTTTTTTTTAGACATAAGCACACTACCCATATTTATTACTTCTAAGTAACAGGCAGACTAATTAGCATTTATATTGTATTATAGTTAAATGCATTACGGCAGCTAGGCTAGTTGTATAGTAACGTTATACAGCATTAATAGAGATATTTACCAAAATAATTTATTTATCCCCGTAGGGGATTAGGAGGGGGGGGGAAGTGTATACAGGAATGCGTAAGCAGTAGGCAAGTTCTACGGACCAGGGTCTGCTACACAGGGATAAGTGAAAATTTGTTATAACTATTTATCAAATAGTTTTATCTATGGAGCTGATCAAATAATGGTAGTGAATAGTCATTAAAAATAATGTGATTCACAACATAACAGGTCAGCGGTTAGTTAGTTAGTTAGTTAGCTAGTTAGTCGATTAGCTAGATCATAGCCGGTGCAGCTAGTAGATTGCATCAATTTAACCTAATCATAAATACCTAACCCTCTGCACTCCAAATCTTTCTCACAATGTGAGAAAGATAACGCAGAGGGTAGTAAAGTTAATTGTCTAAGTAAATATATCCTTTCATTCATTAACTAATGAAAATTCGTTTTGAATGTATTCATTCATATTATCGCTTATTTCGCTTTTTTCGCACCCCATTCACATGTAGCTTTCTTCTTCTAGCTATGATTAATGGGATATTGCTCTTTCTAATCTTTTAATTCTTTTAAAGCTTCATATATATATGAAGCGGTGGTTTTTTGTAATTTCCTCTTATTTAACAGGTATAATAGTATCCATTTCATGGTGGACATCGATATAAATTAGGTGGCTACGTTAGCTAGTTAGCATACGAAGTATCTGCAGCTTAAATTGTCCGCCGTATCCCTACTCTCAAAGAGAGGCGAGGGGATGTGAGTAATAAAAGAATTAGAAATAGAAATGTAGTTGTTAATAAACAAGAATTAGTTCAATTAAATGGAAAATTGCCCACAAGCACTGGTGAAACACGGTTAATTTTTTTAATTTATTTTAATATAAATCGGCCTACGGTAGAAAATAATAAAAATAAAGAACAATAAAAACATATTAGGTGCTGGTGCTGGTGCTGGTACTGGTGCTGGTGCGGGTGGTGGTACTATACTTTCACCTTGATTTGTAACCGGGTTCATCGATGGTGAAGCTTCTTTCATTCTTAATATATGACGAGATTCCAGTCGATCGCCCTACGGAGGGTTGAATAAGCCAGGCGGTTTTCTCTATCCAACTTCACATAAAAGATAAAGCGGTTTTAGAAAGTATACAAACTTTTTTTTTATTGATACTATTTACAATATAGGAGATAATAAGGTTCATTACAGGGTCTTAGTTATAGGGGAATTAGCTTTTATCATTGCGCATTTCGATAAATACCCTCTAAAACCTAAAAAGTTCGTTTGCGGATTTTTATTATTTAAACGTGCAGTTGCCATTATACAAAGTAAACGTAATTTAACTAAATATGGGTTACAGGAACTTGGCCAAGGTCTACTTCTACTCTTCAACCCTCGCTCCAACACTACGTTCTAGCGAAGCACTTATTCAAAAATTTTCGAAAAAATACATTTTTTCTAGCGAAGCACATTTTTTGAATTTTGCGGGGTCGCGAAGAAGATGGCTTCGCTAGAGGGGGTTTAAATTGAGGTTTAACCGATATGTTCAAAAATTCATTTCCTGAGACTGTTATAGCAGAGAGACCAAAAGTAGAATTTACAGGGCAAGCTGATCCGAATTGAATAGCAGGTTTTGTATCAGGTGAAGGTAGTTTTTTTATTGTTATAAGAAAATCAGCTAGTTTTAAAACAGGTTTCTACATATATTTAACATTTAAAATCACCCAAGATGGGCGAGATGTACAAGTTTTAAGAAGCACCGCTTCTATCCCCCCCTGCGAACTTCTCCTCCTGCCTGCCTGCCTGCCTGCCTGCCTGCCGTAGGGTGGGTGGATGGATGGATGGATGGATGGATGGATGGATGGATGGGTGGGCAGGGGGGGGGATTAGACTAACAATATTTTGGTTGCGGTAACGTGAACGCTAAAGATTCAAAAAAAAACTGCATTTGATTATGTTTGTGGCAGTTTTAAAGATAATTACAGCAAATTAATCCCCTTCTTTACTAAGTATCTTGTATATGGTGTTAAGGTTTTAGACTTTCAAGATTGATGTAAAGTAGCGGAATGAATCAAAACTAATAGCCATTAACACCTCAAGGTTTGGCTCAAATTGTAACGATAAAAGCTGGAATGACTAGATCAAGAAAACTTGATAGCTAATTAATGAAATAATTTCAGCCTATTTCCTTTTCATAGTTCGGTCTTGTCTCTTCCTCTTCAGGTGTGCACAGGGAGGGGATATTTTACCCCCTTTAGTGAGAAGTTTACATAAAAAGTTAAATTAACCATTCGGCTTCTTTTTACTTTATGTGCAAACTAAGAAGTAAAAACCTAGGACTAGTCCAGGTCTGAGGACTACGAAGTGTGGGAGAAGTATATTTAGTATATTTCGTTTATTTATCTGGCCCAAAGGGCCTCCCCTCCACTCCAATATCTTTCTCATTATAATGAGAAAGATTACGAGCCCTATGGGCGTAAGTGGAGGGAGGGGATTTATGTTTTCTTCTTCAATGCGGATTAGAGCCAGGCGGTTAGGCGCGCTCTTTGGGAGAGCGAATAGTTATGTTCGATTCATAATAATCCGAATTAAATCTTCCCCTTATCCCCCTACGTAGTGCTACTTCGTTGGGATTAGGGGGATCCCTTTTGGGGCTTCGCACCCTAAAGGGACCCGCGAGGGTAGAAATAAATAAGAAATGTAAATGATATAATAGCTTAAATATAGTATAAAAAGAGACTATTATGGAGATATAAAGCCATGTGTTAAAGAGAAACTTGTTATCTTATGGAAACATATAAACTCTAAGATAAATTACTTGATAAACGAAGCGAATTGAAATATCTTAGTAGCTTCAGGAAAAGAAATCAAAAGAGATTTTATGAATAGTGTGAACGAAAATAAAATAGCCTAAAAAATAAGTAAAATGGTAGAAAAACTGTTTGAAAAATAAATGCCAATTAGTTTTATTATTAAGACTAACTCTGGGGAACCTTCCTCAAAGGCTAAATATAACACATGAGCATCAGAGAATTAGTACCGTAAGGGAATTATTGAAATAGTAGTTTTATAAGCAGCTCGAGTTTTTTTCGAAAACAAGAGCGTACCTTTTGCATAATGGGTCACCAAGTTAACATTAGATGCGAGCTAATTAGTATTGCGTAGTTAAAACGATCATAATGTAACAGAAAATGATAAGTGTCTAAAGTTAGACCCGAAGCCTAGTGATCTTACTATAGTCAGGGCTATAAAGGCTCGAACGGGTTATTGTTGCAAAAATATCCGAAGAACTATGGTAAGCAAAGTGAAAGACAATTCTGACTAGGATAGCTGGTAAATAAAGATGTAAGCAATCTTTGAATAGCCAGTATGTAGAAAATAACTTTCTGCAATAAACCATCAAATTGACGGGGAAGCCCTAAAGCAATCTAAACCAAGCAGATGTGGTAACATGTTTGTGGCACAGGTAATGACTCGTGGTAAGGTAAAATATAGATTGATAGCGCGAGTTAATGGGTAATCCGCAGCCAAGCGCCTTAATGTTAGCTAAAGCTCTTAATTTAAGGTGTGCAGTTCATCGACTAAATGTTGGTTGGCGCAAGCTTAAGATATAGTCAGACCCTATCCGAAAGGATACAGAATAATAAAATACTACTCATCTATAGATTAAGAAGAATAAAATAAATATAAAAATAAATGAAAAAAATAAAATAATTTGATATAACACCCACAATTATTTATAATAATTGTGATTTAGATAAAGTAAAAATACTAAATGATAATAGAGATAAAGGAGGTATTTATTGTTGAATAAATAATATTCACGGTAAAATTTATGTAGGTAGTTCTGTAAATTTAACCGAAAGATTTTATAAATATTATAGTGTTAAGCATTTAACTATGCTGCCGTAGGATAAACACCTATTCACAATGCTATCTTAAAAAATGGGTATAGTAATTTATCTTTAGTAATATTGGAATATATTGCTAACAAGGAAGAAACTATTGTTAAAGAACAATATTATTTAGATTTACTAGATCCTGATTATAATGTGCTGGAAATAGCTGGTTTAACATTAGGTTACAAACATACAGAAGAAACCTTAAAAGTTTTTAAAGAACGTGTACTTAGTGAAGAAGCTAGAAATAACTTATCTATTGCAGCTACTGGAATAATATTATCTGAAGAAGTTAGAGAGAAAATTTCTGATAAACGTAAAGGTATAAAACTTACAGAAGAAATACGTGCAAAGATTTCAAAGTCAGCTAGCGATCTTATAGGTATAAAAATCGATGTAATTAACATCGAAACAAATGAAAAATTATTTTTTGATAGTTTAACTAGCGCCGCTAAGTATATTAATGTAAGTAGAACAGCTGTGGCTAAAGCTTTAAAAAATGGTAAACGAATACAAAAGATTTACATGATTAAAAAAAAGTAGTAGTTTTTATTATTTGTTAAATGGATAATAAAGTATTTATAGGTATACTTATTATTTAGGGAGAAGGACTTCAGCTTAGCCCTTTTGGTAAAAGAAGTAGATTCGTTTCTGCGAAACCTATAATAGTAGGCAATTTGAGTAACATCTTAGCAGGTACAGAACTTAATCTCAGACCAGATGTAAATTTTCAGCAAGAGTAGTTAATCTAC